TATTTTTATCCATGTCTTTGCTCAGTTTTCCTGGCTGACTCTGAAGCAAAGCCCTGCAGTGGGCTGGCGTCGAGGCCGAGGGCCGGGGTCCCCACGGATGGGTCCAGGCTTTGTAGCCACTGCATCTTTCCCAGACTGGAGCAGACTTCAGAGTTGGGTTTGAGAACATTGGAAAATCCAGATCGGGTTGTAAATTTTGTGTGTCAGCCTTGTGGTTTGCAATAAAAGAAAATATCTGCCTTACTGCAAAACATTGATTGTGCCACTGACCAACATATGGTTTCTGTAACGAGTTCCTGTATTGACCTCACCTCAGCCGTGCTTTCCCCAGGCACAGCGCAGATAAGGTGCAGGGCAGCTGGATAAAGGTCTCCTCTCCCTCTTCCAGCTTAACTCTTAGCAGCCCAAGGAGCTGCTGGGCACCAGTCCATCACCATGGCCATAGGTACTGGAGGAGCATCCAGCTCCCCCAGCACGAGGGACCACCCAGTGCCCCTGACGCCGGCTGGCAGTGAGACGGGATCCAGCCTGGACTCGAGCAGGTCTTCTCCAGTGCCGTGTGCTCTTGGGATCACAGAGCACCCCATGTCCTCTCGGCAGGTTTTGGGGAGTCCTCTCCAGCCCTCCTCCTAGCACATTGCAGATGCTCAGGGGATGCTGCAGAAGCAAATATTGAGCACCCAAGTAGGGCCCAGCCGGGCTCCCGCTGTCTCCCACAGAGCAGAGGTGGCCCAACAGCCAAAGGGAGAAGTTCAACCACTTGGATGCCTTTTGCTTTCTGCCCTCCCCTCACTCTCACTGCCCTGCATGCCTTGCCAAAGGGAACAGTCCATCCTCTCCTCGTCCATGCGAGCCTTTCCTCTGGACGTAGCAGTCCTTGGTCTGTGTTTCATTGTCTCCTAGCTGCCAGATCTTCCTCATAGTCACAGGGCACAAAACCCATGTTTTTTTCCTCAGAACTGCTGACTCGGTGAACCACCAGGACAGGATTGTCTCTGTGGGCCGGAGCTGCTGAGCAACGCATTGGCCATTGCCTCCTCTATGCCACCGCTCCCACTGCCTTCATCCCGGCCAAAGCTCCCACGGCTGCTCCAGGAGCAGTAAGGAGAGCAGGAGCTTTGGGAAAGTTCCTTTTCTGGTGAAGTCAAGCAACAGCCAGAGCCGGTGCTGAGCTCGGGCTGGGCACTCTGATGGGCACAGCCTCTCCTG